CCCTTGAAGTGAAACTGTTAGGCGTTCAGTCATGTCAGCTCTTTGCTATCCCATGGACTGTAGCTCGCCGGGATCCTCTATCCATGGAATTCTCCAGGCAAGAATACTGGAGTGGGTTGCCATTCCCTTCTCCAGGGGATCTTTCTGACCCAGGGATTGAACCTGGGTCTCCTGCATATGCCGACAGATTCTTTACGATCTGAGCCACCAGAGAACCCTTACCAGCAACTAAATTGTTTATGGTCTCCATAGTTTTGCTTTTTCAGAATGCCATATAATTAATATGTTGTTTTTCAGTCACTTAGTCGTGTCTGACTCTTTGTGAACCCCATGAACTGCACCGTCAGGCTTCCCTGTCCTTCAGTATCTCCCTGAGTTTGCTCAAACTCATGTCCGTTGAGTCAGTGATGCCATCCAACCATCTCATCCTCTTATCGCCCCCATCTCTTACCCTCAATCTTTCCCAGTATCAGAGTCTCTTCCAGTGAGTTGGCTGTTTGCACCAGGTGGCCAAACAATTGGAGCTTCAGCTTCAGCATCAATCTTTCCAGTGAATATTCAGGGTTGGCTTACTTTAGGATTGATTGATTTGATCTCCTTGCTGTCCAAGGGACTCTCGAGTCTTCTCCAGCACCACAGTTTGAAAGCATCAATTCTTGAACACTCAGCCTTCTTTATAGTCTTTTACATCTGTACATGACTACTGGAAAAGCCATAGCTTTGACTCTATGCACCTTTGTGGGCAAAGTGATGTCTCTGCTTTTTAATACACTATCTAGGTTTGTCATAGCTTTTCTTCCAAGGAGCAAGTGTCTTTTAATTTCATGGCTGCAGTCACTGTCCACAGTGATTTTGGAGCCCAAGAAATGAAGTCTGTCACTATTTCCCTTTTTTCCTCACCTATTTGCCACGAAGTGATGGGATGCCGTGAAGTGATAGGACCAGATGCCATGATTGTAGTTTTTTCAGTATTGAGTTTTAAGCTAGCCTTTTCACTCTCCTTTTTCACCTTCATCAAGAGGCTCTTTAATTCCTCTTTGCTTTCTGCCTTTAGCGTGGTATCATCTGAATATCTGAGGTTATTGATATTTCTCCTGGCAGTCTTGATTCCAGCTTGTGCTTCATCCAGCCTGGCATTTCCCATGATGTACTCTGCATATAAGTTAAATAAACAGGGTGACAACATACAGCCTTGACATACACCTTTCCCAATTTTTAAAAAATTTATTTTAAATGAAACAGAGGAATATTTTTAATGATAAAAGTACAAAGAGTATAGACATCTTAAACCATTAGACACCTTAACAACAAAGAACAGATACATAAAGCAAAAATCAGATGAAATGTAAGGGAAAATAAAAAATATGTAATTGTCATGAGACATTAACATTTCTCTGAGAGTATTTTATCAAGTGCATAAAAAATAAGAATAGGAGCATCTTGAATGATGGCATTAATGATTTAAATACAATAGATATTAATTTATATTAATCTATTCTACACAAATGTATTTAAAATTTTGAATGCCATATGTTTTTATTAGGTCTCCATAGGGCATTTTAGAAAAACTGGCAAAAAGATAAACATCACTAAATTTCAGAAAGTAGAATTCTTTTGTGTGTGTTTGATTCAGCTATATACATGTTATTTTTGAAATTATCTTCCATTATAAGTTATTACAAGATATTGACTACAGTTCCCTGTGTTATACAGTAAAAACCTTTGTTGCATATCTATTTTTTTTTCAATTAGAAATTGAGCTATTTATACTAAGTCAAGCAAGTAGAATCAAAATGTCATAAATTTTTTAGTTAGGCAAAAATTCGTAAGTTTTCTAAATACATGTATTATACATATTATGTATATATATGTATGCAAAAGCTTTTCTACTGTGCCTGATAAAGAACATCAAAAGAAAAAAAAAAAGCGATGAAGAAATTGGAAAACATAAACTAAATTAAATGTGAGCACTGAATATGTGATAGAAAAAGTGAAACAACCGAGATAAAAGTAAAAGATCCTCATATAGTTCAATTGTTGTTAAACATGGCTGCTCCTTAGAAACATACCTGGAGTTCTGGCAAAAAAAAGCAATCCCTGGGCATTTGTATTGTTTCAGAAAATCAATAGCCAGACAAAAAATAAAGATAATTACAGTTGCAAGCCATACTGGGAACATGATTAACCTAACAATATGAAATAATTACATACAGTTTGGGGGATCAAGCAGAGTGATGTGGTAAGTGGAAGTGCATACATGCACGTGTTTTTATCTGCTCAGCCGGTCTGTGTCTTTTGGTTGGTGCATTTAATCCATTTACATTTAAAATAATTATTAATATGTATGATCCAATTACCATTTTCTTAACTGTTTGGGGTTTATTTTCTTTATGTAAAATTTCTCCTCTTGTTTTCTGTCTAGAGAAGTCCTTTTAGCATTTGTTGTAAAGCTGGTTTGGTGGTGCTGAATTGTCTTAACTTTTGCTTGTCTGAAAAGCTTTTGATTTCTCCATCAAATCTGAAAGAGAGTCTTGCTGGGTAGAGTATTCTTGGTTGTAGGTTCTTTACTTTCATTACTTCAAATATATCTTGCCATTCCCTTCTGACTTGTAGAGTTTCTGTTGAGAAATCAGCTGATAGCATGATGGGAGTTCCCTTGTATGTTATTTGTCGTTTTTCCCTTGTTGCTTTTAGTATTTTATCTCTATCTTTAATTTTTGTCAGCTTGATCATTATGTGTCTCCGTGTGTTCCTCCTTGAGTTTATTCTTCCTGCGACTCTTTGTGCTTCCTGGACTTGTTGATTATTTCCTTTCCCATGTTAGGGAAGTTTTCAGCTATTATTTCTTCATATATTTTCTCAGGTCCTTTCTGTCTCTCTTCTGCTGGGAACCCTATAATGTGAATGTTCGTTTGTTTAATGTTGTCCCAAAGGTGTCTTAGGCTGTCTTCATTTCTTTTCGTTCTTTTTTTCTATATTCTGTGGCAGTGATTTCCACCATTCTGCCCTCCAGGTCATTTATCTGTGCTTCTGCCTCAGTTGTTCTGCTGTGGATTCTGTCTAGTGTATTATTCATCTCTGTTTGTTCTTTAGTTCTTGCAGGTCTTTGGTAAACGTTTCTTCCTTCTTCTCAATCTTTGCCTCCATTCTTTTTCAGAGATCCTGAATCATCTTCACTGTGATTATTCTGAATTCTTTTTCTGGAAGATTGCCTATCTCAACTTCATTTAGTAGTTTTTCTGGGGTTTTTTCTTGTCCCTTCATCTAGGAGTTACCTTTGCTTTTTCATGATTGTTAACTTTCTGTAATGTGGTTTTGTTTTACTTGCAGTGGGATTATGGTTCTACTTGTTTGTTTTGTCTGGCCTCTGATGAAGGAGGCTAAGAGGCTAGTGTAAGCTTCCTGATGTNTGTTGTCCCATATCCGGTTCTGACTGTTGCTTCTTGACCTGCCTACAGATTTCTCAGGTAAGGTGGTCTGATATTCCCATCTCTCCCAAACTTCCACAGTTTGTCCTGATTCACACAGTCAAAGGCTTTAGGGTAGTTGATGAAGCAGATGTTTTTTGGAATTCCCTTGCTTTTTCTGTAATCCAACAGATGTTGGCAGTTTGATCTCTGGTTTCTCTGTGTTTTCTAAATCCAGCTTGTACATCTGGGAGTTCTTGGTACATGTACTGTTGAAGCCTAGCATGAAAGATTTTGAGCATTACCTTGCTAGCATGTGAAATGAGCACAATTGTGCTGTAGTTTGAGCATTCTTTGGCATTGCTGTTCTTTGGGATTAGAGTGAAAACTGACCTTTTCCAGTCCTATGGCCACTGCTGAGTTTCCCAAACTTGCTGGCATATTGAGTGCAGTGCTTTCATAGCATCATCTTTTAGGATTTGAAATAGCTCAGCTGAAATTCCATCACCTCCACTAGCTTTGTCAAAATACTTCTAAGGCCCACTTGACTTTGCATTCCAGGATGTCTGGCTCTAGGTGAGTGACCACACCACTGTGGTTTTCTGTGTCATTAAGAGCTTCTTTATACAGTTCATGATGTACTCTGCACATACCATCTGCATTTCCATCAGCAAAGAATGAGAGTCCTGTTCCTCCACATCCTCACCAGCGTTTGGTGTCAACACATTTTTCATAATAGTTTGTATTGGACATCTTTGCAAATTACATTGCGAACATCTGCATTTTCTCTTTTTAACATCTGTATAGAAGCATCGATATGCTGTAATTGAATCAGTCCTCTTTTGATGGGCCCTTGTTGTTCAGTCACTCAGTCGTGTCCAACTCTTTGTGACCCCATGGACTGCAGCACGCCAGGCTTCCCTCTCCACTATCTTTTGGGATTTGCTCAAACTCAGGTCATTTGATGGCCACTTGAGTTGTTTCTAATATTTTCCTCTTATAAAGGATGTTGCAGATAACCTTGTTGCTTTTCTATGTTGTAGTTGTTTTAGGGTAAATGCTTAGAAGTGGATTTGCTGGATCAAGGATTTCAGTGCATTTCTGTTGCCAAATTCCGTTCCAAGGAATCTTATCAATTTGCACTGTTTACCAGTGGTGTGTTAGAGGGCCTGTTTCCTTATAACCTTACCAGTTGACTTGTCAAATCAAGATTTTTGCCAGGGTAATAGATGAGCAATATCTTAGTGGAAGTTGAGTATCTTTTCCTCTGTTGATGGTCATTAGCATTTCTTTTTTTTTGTGATTTGTATGTTCCTATTTTGGGGTCCTTTTCTTGTTAGCTTTTTGGAACTGTTGAAGTATTAGGAAGGTTAACTTTTTGTGATAAGAATTGTAAATATTTTTTCTCATTTTATTGTTTGATTTTGTGTACCTTCAAGTTTGAACTCAGTTCTGATTTTATAGTCCATTCTCTTCATCACTATAACTGTACCAGTCTACATTCTACATTCCTGAAATGATTCATTTACCCTATTATTTAATGCATCTAGCATTTTAAAACTGTCTTCAAATAGCAATTTCTTTCTTCAATAGACACGGCATCAGCGAGGAGATACACATCCTCTTACTTTAGAAGAAATTTTGGATGAAACGCAACATTTAGATATTGGACTCAAACAGAAGCAGTGGCTAATGAGTGAGGTAAGAATAGTCTTAAGTTATTGTAAAACATTTTTTACTGTAAGTGGGGTTTTCGTATACTGAAATCTGATAAGTTTTTTCTTAAAAGAATTGGTATAGGGGTTTTTTTTTAACATACACATTTTGGGATTGATTTGTTTTCATATATTCTGTGTATCTATTTTAAAATGTCAGACAGTAGCATTAAAGTTGTAAAGAAGTCACTCACTACTAAATTTTAAGTTTTTACAGAATAATTGATGCTTATTTTGAATTGCTAAATTTGTATGTATTGACAGATTGTATTGTTTCTATGTTTCGGGACATTTAAAACATGAAATAGTATAGGGAAAGCAAGATATTTTGTTAAGAAATGTATTTGTTGTACTGCTGCTGCTATTATGAGTTGATAGTGATGTTACTGCCTCTGGCAAGTCACTTGGAAAAATAACCACGAATATTTTGTATATATACACACAATATTGGAAGAAAACGAATCTCAAAACAATCAGTGACTGTGTTAATTTGGAAATGAGTAGCACTTTAAAATAAAAATTGAGATATTTGTCTCTTTCTAGCTAAGTATGGAATGACAATTCAGTAAAGCAACTTTCTAAGACCAGTGCTGATTTTAAAGGTGAAATGTAAACTTCCTAAAATAGAATTCACTTTATTTTACCAAGCAAGATAGTCTTGATTTTCATAATGTAAGATGAACTAGTTAGGCATTATCATTGTAGCTCATTATGTTAGTGATACACAAATGGTGGTAATCCACATTTTTTTTTTTTTTCAGTTTCCAAATGGTTATTTTATCAGATTGTTTATAAACATTAAATTTATCCTTGTTTGCAATCCAAAATAGTTACCTGAAGTTTGCTGTTTGTATGTGTTTTGTTTTTAGTATATGTTTTCTAAACTCTTTGGCACAATTTTCTGGGGGCGTTCAGACTGCCACAATACATGTCAGGAGAGAACTTTTCTTTTGTGCTGCCAATTCTGAGCATTTAAATTTTGGTTTGTTTGGGTTGTGGCTTTCTTTTGAAGTCTGCATTCTTTATTTGTAACAATGTATTTTTATTTTTTCTATATCCTCTAACTCCAGAGTTTTTTTTTTCTCCCCCCAACCCCCCCCCCACTTCTACATTCACAGTTGAACCATATTATTAGGAAAGGCGCCTTGATAAAAAGATCAGGATGGGAGCTCTGACCATTCGTCAGTGTTTTCCCTAAAATTTAAAAAAAAAAAAGAAAAAGGAAAAAAAAAACACCCAAAAAACAAAACCTAAAGAGCGTCTTTCCTTTTTTTTTTTCTTCTCTTACATCTCTTGTGCTGCATCAGTAGACCGACCTTCAGTTAGTTTTATGAAATGCAACATCTAACCCCCCTTTTTTTAACCCCTTTTATGTTAGTGATATACAAATGGTGGTAATCCACATTTTTGATGCTTTTCCTAATTTTGAAATTTCATGGACTACTGACGTTAGGTAAAGGTTATTTTAATTACTGTTCTGTCCTCATTTCTTCTTTCTTTTTTTTTATCCTTTCACGGTCAGGCTGGCAGCTGTAGAAGAAAATAAAATGGTTGCTCTTTCTTGAAGAGCTTTCCTTCTGGTATTAGCAATACAACAGGACTGACTGGGAACATAATTATATTCAGAAATTTCTGTATTCCTTCTCAGTTTCAGTCTCAACTGACATATAGGTAATTTCATATCTGTACTACTCTGGTCCTTTTCAAGTCCTTCTACAGCTGCTAGTGCCATTTAATACCATGTGGACAGGCTGATTTTTGATATGTTCATCCCAGGGGAATGTTTCTCACATTATAATCCCGATATGTGATACTTTGAGAGTGGGTAGGCAGTGGCTATTGATGTTAATAGGTGTGTTTTTGATTCTCACCTCTTTTGTCTTCTGGAAGAATATGGGTACATTTTCTTCAAAGCAGTTCTAATAAACTGGTTTCTTTCTTATCCAGAGAGTCTATGTAAGTAATAAACAGTTCTTTTTTTTTTTTTAAATAAAAAGTGAGCACCATGCTGATCTCTGCATGTTGTTTTGTATCCTGTTGATAGATAGCCTGTTGTTTTGATCTGTTGATATCCACAAGGTACTTTTAATTTGCCTCTGTATTAGGTATTGTTTTTTTAATATTAGTAGAATTAAATAATGTATGTATGATATTTTCTTTTGTTAATATATTGAAATTGTGTCACTCTTACAGGCACTAGTCAATAATCCCAAAATTGAAGTAGTAGATGGAAAGTATGCCTTTAAGCCCAAGTACAACTTGAAAGATAAGAAGGCTCTACTTAGGCTCTTAGATCAACATGACCAGCGCGGCTTAGGAGGAATTCTTTTAGAAGACATCGAGGAAGGACTGCCCAATTCCCAGAAAGCTGTCAAGGCTTTAGGGGACCAGATATTATTTGTAAACCGTCCTGATAAGAAGAAAATTCTTTTCTTCAATGATAAGAGCTGTCAGTTTTCTGTGGATGAAGAGTTTCAGAAACTGTGGAGGAGTGTCACCGTGGATTCAATGGACGAGGAGAAAATTGAAGAGTATCTGAAGCGACAGGGAATTTCTTCCATGCAGGACTCCGGACCAAAGAAGGTGGTATGTAGTCTCTGGGAGAGAAGGTGGCGCTGTGCCCTTTGAACTGTCAGCCTGCTTCCTGTGTAGCCCTGGGAAGAGCAGGTGGCTGGTTCTTCCTTGGAGTTCTTCCTCCGCGTCCTCCCCCTCTGACCTTGGTCAGGTGCTTTCAGGTCGCGGCTGGTATGCTCCTTGCCTTCAGGTGCCGCTCCCCGGGTAGCATGAGTGCTTCTCCGCTTGCCCCGCCCCTGTCCTGGCAGTGCCTGCTCTTGCTGCAGCCGCGTGGACTTCCGGCATCCCCGTGATGTCCTCCTGGTTTCTACTGGGAGCCTGCTCCACCCCCCTGGCCTTCCTGATCTTCATCCCCCAACCTGCTTCTTGCTGGTGCCGGACTTTGCTTTAGCGCTGGTCACACTCAGTTGTCCTTGGTGACGCTCAGATCCTTTAGGAACCAGATTTTACTGTCCTGATAACCCCAGATCTGGCTCATTTAGAAGGATTTGTAGCTGGATGAAGATTTGTGAATTGCCTCGTACCAGCTAACCAGCTCTCTGCAGTTCAGAGACAAAGCCAGGATGAGGGATATTTCACTAACACCCCCTTCCCCTGGCCACCATCATGCCTTGTAGGTTGTCTTCTTTGTGACTTTTGTGTGCGTGTATTTTATTTGGTGATGTTTAGGACTCCTTTAAGGGGAAAATTTATTGCCAGTGATCTCTAAAAATTAGTGTGATTGCAGCACTTCATGGTTTCCTATCATTGCTTAGTTTGTTGATTTTTTTTTAATGTGATGCAGTAAAGAGAATAATAGCTAACAACTCTTTCTGTGCCCATTCACTCCCCAATTTTGCTGTATCTTTGTACTTTGTTGTATTTGCTTCAGGTTTTTGTTTTACGGGTAATTAATGGTGGATAAGCTTTTTTAAACCTGATAATAGAGATGAAAAACAAGAGAGCTATACTGCCTCTTCACCCACTTAGTGCCCAGCGTAGTTGTGGTAAGCTGTTGTGCCAGCCCCTTCTTTCCNAAAATCTATTTTTAATTGGAGGATAATTGCTTTACAATATTGTGATGGTTTCTGCCATATGTCAACATGAATCTCATATCTGATTTAATATATTTGAGTCTTCTTGCTTTTTTTTCTTGGTTAGTTAAGCTAAAGTTTTGTCAGTTTTATTTTTTCAAAGAATCAGCTTATAGTTTCATTAATCTTTTCTATTGTCTTTTTTAGTCTCTCAAATTTATTTCCACTCTAATCTTTAGTTTCTCCCTTCTACTAACTTTGGGCTTCATTTGTTCTTTTTCTAGTTTCTTGAGGTGTAAGTTTAGGTCTTTTTTAGATTTTTCTGGCTTTTTAAGGTAGGCATTTATAATTGAATTTCCTCTTAGAATTGCTATTTTTTTAACCTCTCATAAGTTTCGGCACATTGTATTTCCATTTTCGTTTTTTCAAGGTGTTTTAAAAATTTCTTCTTTGACCCAGCAATTAGCAGCATACAGTAAGTCCCCTACATACCAACTTTCAAGTAGTAAACTTTCAGAAAGGCAGATGTGTGTTTCTATGTTCAATCACATAAGACACGGGTGAAATTGTAGCTTTTCCTCCATCTTCTGTTGCTGACGATCTTCAGCTCTGCTATCTCCTGCCTCCTCTCCCTCCTCCAGCCAGTAGCTCTTCTTGCTTGTTCCCTTGATGCCAGCCCTGGTATGCCAGCTTTTGTACGCTACTACTGTGCTTTTCATGAAACTGTACTGTAAGGTTAAAAATGTTTTGTTTTTTGTTTTCTATGTATTATTTGTATGAAAGGTATTATAAATCTGTTACAGTACAATATTGTATTACCTGTTGTGTTAGTTGGGTATCTAGGCTAGCTAGTTTTGTTGGACTTAACAAATTGGATTTAGGAATGTGCTCTCAGAACAGAACTTGTTCATATATAGTGGACTTATTCTGTTGTTATTTGTGAATCCTCCAGCTTTCTTCTTGGAATTGAGTTTTAGTTTTATATACCATTGTAAGGTGCTTAATGTGATTTGTTAAGGCTTGTTTTGTGCCTTATCATATTAACTATTCTGGAGAATGTCGAGTGGGCACTTGAGAATAGTATAGATTCTTTCTGTTGCCTTTGGATGAAATGTTCTTTACATATCTGTTAAGTGTGTGGTTCACACATTGATGCCTAAAGTGTTATGCGCTCAGCCATGTCTGACTCTTTGCAACCCCATGGACTGTAACCTGCCAGGCTCCTCTGTCCATGGAATTTTCCAGGCAAGAATACTGGAGTGGATAGCCATTCCCTTCTCCAGGGGATCTTCCTGACCCCGGGATCAGGCCCGGGGATCAGACCCAGGTCTCCCACATTGCAGGCAGGTATTTTTACTGTCAGTGTCACCAGGGAAGCCCTTGTTGATGCCTAAGGTTGAGATTATTCATCTGTGATGTCATCTAAAGGCTCAGAGTTTGAGACTTTATTTCTGTGATGAATTTTACCATCATCATCATAGTCCAGAGTACTATCAGACTTTTTGCATTCTTATTCTCATTAATTAGTAATAATGAAATATGTCAATTTTCTTGTCCTTGCTAGAGTAGTGAGTGAAAAATTTGATTGTCAGTTGTGTTCAGTCAAAGCTAAAAGACAACAAAAACTACTCAAGTCCTTTATTTTTTTCTGTAAAGCTGATGCAGTATTTTGGGCAGTGCAGTAAGAAAACTGAAGGATGGCTATTTATCTCATAGTCACACACAGTTTATATGATTTAATCATTCTCCCATTATCTTACTGTTCTAGCTTTTCAAAGCATGACTGGAAATAATTGATGGATAATGATGAGTAAGTAACAAAATATTTCAAGGACAAGTAAGAACATTGAGATCCATGGTTTTTTCCCCACAGATTAATGAGTTCACTAGACCAAGTTGTAATTTGTCACATAGATTGAATTTTGTTCTAATATTTAAAAGTTTTTCTTGTTTTTGTACTGTGAAGGATCTCTAAAAGTTTCAAAACATTAATCCTTAAAAGTCGAACTGCTCAAGAAAGAAACTTTAGAATTAAAGTTTGGTCTAGTGGACCCTAAAGGTATACTGAGAGTTAAAGAAACTGGAAATCCTCTGTTGTTTAAAAAAAAATCTTGAGTGATGTAATTTGGAGTTAACTGAAAACTTTTTCTTTATCTTTAAGGCTTTAGGGGACCAGATATTATTTGTAAACCGTCCTGATAAGAAGAAAATTCTTTTCTTCAATGATAAGAGCTGTCAGTTTTCTGTGGATGAAGGTGAGCCTTCCTTTCTACTTTCTTTAATTTGCAGACATGTTACAAATTTAGGATGATAGAATTCATACTGTTTATAATACAATTATATCTTAAATCGTATAATACTGCTTTTTTAGCGTTATCTCTTAGAGCTAACAACTTTATATGTCTGACATATTTCTTGCAATGCAATTTGAAATATGTAATTTGAAAGATTTTAGGTTAATTGTACTCATAGTTGTAGTATAACAGTTAGTAATTTCTTGTTCTCACACTTCAGCTGTACCAAACCGGAGTTTATTTCTGTTTTACAAATACTACTTCATGTCTTGGTATGAAAGCTTGATCCATGATGGGGGAAAAAAATACTAACTTTTTGTGGAGACTATTTTCTTAAATAACTTATGAATATTTGGTTATCCAGTTGGATAAGAAAGGAGATTAATGTTTTTCTTTCTGGCAGTTGTAGAGTTGGATGCTAATAAGCTCTATGCTGTCTTCTAAATGCGTGATACTTATATTTTGGATTTTAGTTTCAAATATTTCATCAATATTTTCAAGTAAAATAGAAGTTAAAGAGTTTAGTTTTGAGAAATTTCTAGACAAGTAGATATTCCCATTTAAGCAAATATCTTTTACTCTAAATTTGTATTAACTTTGAAGTTTTATTGAAAGACAAAAAAAATTGAACTTTTTAATTATAAAATTTCAAAAGTAATTCAAACTCCAGCAAAATATTTTAACAGTGTAGAAAGATTCAGAGTGCAATAGAGGTTTAGACTCTGAACAGTGAAACTGTTGCTGTCTCAGTTTGGTAATCATATTGACTCTTTTTATGACATTAAATAAAGGAGATTCTATTGAACGGATAATTTTGTAAAAGAAATGCATTTACAGATCTTGCTCCTGGAGAGCCCTGTCTTGATTATGATTTGTAATTTGTGCAGTAACTCTAGGTTTTTCTTTTATGTGTTATCTATCTGTGGATACTCAGTCTTGTGGTGCTGTAATTTCATCAGCCTAAAGTTACTTAGATGACCATGATTTAAAAAAATTTATTTTTTGACTGTGCTGCATCCTCGTTGCTATGCGTGGGCTTCTGGTTGTGGCAAGTGGGGCCACTATCTAAGTTGCCACGTGAGGGCTTCTTATTACTGTGACTTCTCTTGTTGTGGAGCACGAGGTCTAGGGCACGTGGGCTCAGTAGTTGCAGCTCACAGATTCCAGAGAGCAGGCCCAGTAGTTGCGGCACATGGGCTCAGATGTCCAAGGCACATGGGATCTTCCTTCCCTGACCACAGATTGAACTGGTGTCTCTTGCATTGGAAGGCGGATTCTTTACCCTTGGACTAGGGAAGCCCTGATTTTTATTTTTTGTAGGAAATAGAATGTTGTATTTTTGTGAGAATCCTCATCAAGAGTGCCTTGTATACAGTTGGTTTTCTTATTAATGTTTGTTAATTAAGTGAAAATTTGCAAAGTATTACAGCTTTTCTATAATGCCATTTCTCTGAATAAGCTTCCTGTATGTAAGCAAGGTAGTAGTCAACTCCTTCTGTGTATTGTAGTGATAGGTGCTCGTTTAAGAAAGATACAGCCGAGCAATTTTTGTTTTGCCTCTGTCTCTTTTACTTGGAGTTTTACTGTTTTGTTAATTGTCAGATTGAGTTCTTCCTATTGAAAACCATAAAAATGGACTTGTTCTTTAAGTCCTTCTGAGTTTAAATAAACAACTGATTCCTTAAGCATAATTAATCCTTTTGAAAAAAAATTTTCGTAGTCTTAAACTTACCACTAGTACCACATTTTCAGATAGTAAGAAAGATACAATAAAAACCAGATGTACTTTTCCTTTCTCCGGTTCCAGTGCCTTTCTTTTATGGCAAGTGGCTTAACTGGTTTTACTTTAGATTCTTCTGGTGGTTTTTCCCGCATTGCTAAATAATATGTTTATACTGTTATTTATTTTTAACTTGAAATATTGTCTAATGACTTGTTGTCCATCAGTCACCATGTCGTGTCCAACTCTGCAACCCCATGAACTGCAGCATGCCAGGCTTCCCTGTCCTTCACTGCCTCCTTCAGTTTGCTCAAACTCATGTCCTTTGAGTCAGTGATGCCGTTCAACCATCTCATCCTCTTTTGCCCACTTCTCCTCTTGCTCCCAGCATCAAGGTCTTTTTCAATGAGTTGTTTCTTTGCATCAGGTGGCCAGAGTTTTGGAGCTTCAGCATTGGTCCTTCCAATGAATATGCAGGACTGATCTCCTTCAGGATGGACTGGTTGGATCTCCTTGCAGTCTAAGGGACTCTTGAGAGTCTTCTCCAACACCACAGTTCAAAAGCATCACTTCTTCAGTGCTCAGCTTTCTTCATGGTCCAGCTCTCACATCCATACATGACAACTGGAAAAACCATAGCTTTTACTATATGGACCTTTGTCTGCAAAGTGATGTCTCTGTTTTTTAATACACTGTCTAGAGTTTTCATAGGTTTTTTCCCAATAAGCAAGCGTCTTTTAATTTTGTGGCTGTGGTTACCATTGGCAGTGATTTTAGAGCCCAAGAGAATGAAATTTGACACTTTTTCCCCATCTGTTTGCCATGAACTGATGGGACCAGATGCCATAATCTTTGTTTTTTGAATGTTGAATTTTAAGTCAGCTTTTTCACTCTCATCTTTGACCTTCATCAAGAGGTTCTTTAGTTCCTCTTCGCTTTCTGCCACTGGAGTGATATCATCTGCATATCTGAGGTTGTTGATATTTCTCCTGGCAGTCTTGATTCCATCTTGTAAGTCATCCAGCCCAGCATTTCATATGGTGTACTCTGCATATAAGTTAAATAAGCAGGGTGACAGTTTACAGCCTTGATGTACTCATTTCCCAGTTTTGAACCAGTTCCATGTCTGGTTCTAACTGTTGCTTCTTGTCCTGCATACAGGTTTCTTAGGAGGCAGATAAGATGGTGTGGTATTCCCATCTCTTCAAGAATATTCCAGTTTGTTGTGATCCATGCAGCCAAAGGCTTTGGCATAGTCAGTGAAGCAGTAGTAGATTTTTTAAAAATTGCCTTTGCTTATTCAACGATCTAGTGTATGTTGGCAATTTGATCTCTGGTTCCTCTGCCTTTTCTAAATCCAGCTTGTACATCTGGATGTTCTTGGTTCATGTATTGCTGAAGCCTGGCTTGAAAGATTCTGAGCATAATCTTGGTAGCATATGAAATGAGTGCAATTGTGCAGTAATTTGAGCATTCTTTGGCATTGCTTTTCTTTGGAGTTGAAATGAAAACTTATCTTTCCCAGTCTTGTGGCCTCTGCTCTGGGTTTTCCAAATTTGTTGGCATATTGAGTGCAGCAGTTTAACAACACCATTTTTTAGGATTTGAAATAGCTCAGCTGGAATTCCATCACCTCCAGTAACTTTTTCATAGCAATGCTTCCTAAGGCCCACTTGACTTTGAACTCCAGGATGTCTGGCTCTAGGTGAGTGATCACATTATTGTGGTTATCTGGGTCATTACGAGCTTTTTTGTACAGTTCTTCTGTGTATTCTTGCCACCTCTTCTTAATCTCTTCTTCTGTTAGGACCATACCGTTTCTTTCCTTTATTGTACCCATCTTTGCATGAAATGTTGCCTTGGTATCTCTAATTTTCTAAAAGAGATTTCTAATCTTTTTCATTCTGTTGTTTTTCTCTACTTCTTTGCATTGTTCACTTAAGGTTTTCCTGTCTCTCCTTGTTTTAATCTGGGACTCTGCATTCATTTGGGTCTATCTTTCCCTTTCTCCTTTGCCTTTTGCTTCTCTCCATTTCTCAGGTATTTATAATGCTTCCTCAACCACTTTGCCTTCTTGCATTTCTTTTTTCTTTTCAATGGATTTGGTCACCACCTCCTATACAATATTACGAACCTCCGTCCATAGTTCTTCAGACACTCCGTCTACCATTCCATAGTTCTTCAGACACTCCATCTACCATATCTAGTCCCTTGAATCTATTTGTCACCTCTCCTGTATAATCATAAGGAATTTGATTTAGGGCATACCTGAGTGGCCTAATGTTTTTCTCTACTTTCTTCATTTTGGGCCTGAATTTTACAATAAGGAACTGGTGATTTGAGCCACAGTAAGCTCTTATTTTTGCTGACTGTATAGATCTTCTCCATCTTCGGCTGCAAAGAATATATATAATCGGTCTGAATTCAGTACTATCTGGTGATGTCCACAGCAGTCCTCTGTTGTTTTGTTGCAAGAGGATGTTTTCTATGACCGATGCATTCTATTGGCAAAGCTCAGTCAGCCTTTGACCTGCTTTATTTTAGACTCCAAGGACAAACTTGTCTGTTACTCCAGGTATTCTCTTGACTTCCTACTTTTGCATTCCAGTCTCATACGATCAGAAGGATATCCGTTTTGCTGTTAGTTCTAGGAGGTCTTGTAGATCTTATAGAATCGTTCAACTTCATCTTCTTTGGCATTAGTGGTTGGGGTGTAGACTTGGATTACTGTGATATTGAATGGTTTGCCTTCGAGACAACCGAGATCGTTCTGTCATCTTTGAGATTGCAGCCAAGTACTGCGTTTTGGATTCTTTCGTTGACTCTGAGGGCTGCACCATTCCTTGTAAGGGATTCTTGTCCACAGTATTAGATACAATGGTCATCTGAATTAAGTCTGCCTCTTCCCGCCCATTTTAGTTCACTGATTCCTAAAATGTCCATGTTCACTCTTTCTATCTCCTGTTTGACCACATCCAACTTTCAACAACATAAACTTTCTGAGAGAGAATATGTAGTATTAATTCTGCTCTCTAGATGGCAGCATAGCGTAGCATATCTGTCTGGAAGTAGATGTTTAAAGTGAAGCAAGTGTTTGATTTGGGGGCTTCCCTGGTAGCTCAGCTGATAAAGAATCTGCCTGCATTGCAGGAGACCCTGGTTCGATTCCTGGGTCAGGAAAGTCCACTGGAGGAGGGATAGGCTACCACTGTAGTATTCTTGAGCTTCCCTTGTGTCTCAG